AAAAATGTGCGGAAATTAGTTCTCCATAACTTGTTCCTGCAAATTTTGTCGAAAAACTACTAGACAACAACGCATTGCCCATTCAATAATTACTATATATGTGTTTTATTTATTTCAAGTAATATTTTATTATTCATAAAATTTGCGAGTTTTATTTTATTACTCAGGAGTGGAATTTTTTATGTTTATACAAAAAATTACGCGTTCATTTTGCAATTTGTTATTTATTTAGATAAAAAGATTTCCAATTAATTCTTAAATAAATTAAAACTGGTTCTAATATTTATTTTTTGTCGCTTCCCCAACCCTTAAAGTTTTAGACATTAATCTTACCTTTATTTTCATGTTACAGTTTTTGCATTAAAATAATTAATTTTTTTCAATTTTCTACATACTTTTCAAAAGAACAATTTTTATACATTAATAAAAAAATAATTTATTGCCTTTTACGGCAAAACGTTTAAAGTTATAGGTAAAAAGTAAAAAAGATTTTTATAGAAAATTAAATTTCATATAAAAAATATTCTATACATTAATCCAAGAAAATGCATCCTTTAGAAGATATAGAGCATTTAATAAATTTAACTGTCAAATTTTGATCAAATTTTATCAATATATGAAATTTATTAAATGCTATATATCTTCTAAACTATACATTTTATTGCATTAATGCATAAAACTATTTTTGTGGGAAATTAAATTTTCTATAAAACTATATATTTTTTTAACCGTTGTGCCATAATACAACATAGTACCAATTAGTTTATCAATATTTTATAGTAAAGTTTATTAAATGCTTTATATCTTTTAAACGGTTAAAGTAAAAAAGATTTTTATAGAAAATTAAATTTTATATAATAAATATTCTATGCATTAATCCAAGGAAATGCATAGTTTAGAAGATATAGAGCATTTAATAATTTTAACTGTCAAATTTTGATCAAATTTTATCAATATATGAAATTTATTAAATGCTACATATCTTCTAAACTATACATTTTATTGCATTAATGCATAAAACTATTTTTGTGGGAAATTAAATTTTCTATAAAACTATATTTTTTTTTAACCGTTGTGTCATAATACAACATAGGACCAATTAGGTTTATCAATATTTTATAGTAAAGTTTATTAAATGCTTTATTTATTTTAAACGGTTAAAAGGTAAAAAGTAAAAAAGATTTTTATAGAAAATTAAATTTTATATAAAAAATATACTATGCATTAATCCAAGGAAATGCATAGTTTAGAAGATATAGAGCATTTAATAATTTTAACTGTCAAATTTTGATCAAATTTTATCAATATATGAAATTTATTAAATGCTATATATCTTCTAAACTATACATTTTATTGCATTAATGCATAAAACTATTTTTGTGGGAAATTAAATTTTTTATAAAAGTTTATTTTATTTTTTTCCTGTAACTTTAACCGTTTTGCTATAAAACAACATAGAACTAATTAGTTTACCAATGTATCACACTAAAATTTAATAAATGCTTTAGGTATATCTTTTAAATTATACATTTGATTGGATTATTGTAAAGGACTTTTTTGTGGAAAATTAAATTTCCTATAAAAATCTTATACAGTTTATATTATTTATTTTATATTATAATAAATATATTAATTGTAGTAACAAAAAATAAATGTTCCTTCAAAACGATTTAACCTTATATGTATATGTCTGGGGATCTTGGAGGCCAACTAATAGGACTGATGGGAAAATAAGGACAATTAAAAATATTATCGTTTAATATTTTTATGTATATGGGCATAAGTGCTGAGAAAACGAAAAAAAGTTCACACAGTTATTATTTATCAGTTCATACAGTACAGTAATCGATCTGATTTTGTGAAAATGCCTATCAGTCACGTATAGGTAGGTATGCATTTTTATGGTGAGAACTGACCAATAAAATGAATAAATTTTTTAAGCTGTAAATTTGGAGCATACAAAAATACGTTAATATAAAAATAGTTAATTTATTTTTATAAAACCTTGATGGCTAGAAAATTCTGGACAGGGCAGCTAGCTTGTGAGTTAATTTCTTATAAGATGAAAAATATTGGTATTATAAGTCCCCTTGTGTATGAAAACGCAATAGACAGTTATAAAATGAGTTAATTAAATTTAAGTATACTTAAGTCTTCCCACCCAGTTTCCTGTGCTTAAAACTAATAATTCGTTAGTACTTTTCGAATAAAATATTAAAATACTTCCACACCAATCCTTAGCGTAATAATTCCGTTAAAAAATAAGGCACATTTTTTGTTCATTTGGTTTGGAATGACCGTTTAAAAGTGCTTGTGTGAAGAGTATATTAAATGCATCAAACTAAAAACAGGAAGTTTTCATTTTCTCAATAAATTTTTTCTTTATTATACGATTACTGTCAATCAAACTTCGTTAAATAGCCAAAACTTAAGGATGTCATTGCTTTTAGCGAAAATGTACACCCTCTTGCAAGATTTAATCGAAAATTTTGTTATTTAACACTGTTTACCCACGAACAATAAGAAATTGATAATAATGTGAAGCGAACAAAGATCAGCGATAAGTTGTCTTGTGTATACAAAATATTACACAAAAGGAAATTAATAAAATCATTTATTTTAGGAGATTTACTTACTTCATATTATCACAGAAATAACATGTTTTTAACTTCAACAGCCAATATAAACGAAAAAAAAAGGGAAAAACAACCCAAAAATTTCAAATAGCATGATAATATGAAAAGTGAAAATGTCAGTGGCGTACGGTTTTTGAAAACAAAGCAGTGCTCTCATGTGAGTTTTTTGACAAAATAAATAATTGTGAATAAATGCTTAGTATAATGAAGATATCATATCTTATATTATTAGTACAATGACTCCCTTTCACAAAAAAAGGATAATTCTTACCTTTAACAAATGATGCGTAGAGGCACATAAAGTGTTTCCTTTGTAGAAATTTGATTTGATTTTTGCACAACGTCTTTATATAAAAATATAAATTGAGTTTAATAGATTTTGTTGAAATGATGCATCCTTCCGTTACTGCCAAATTTCGGCACTCGAATTTATTATTTTGACATTAACTCTTGGAACATTATAATACGAATAGTTTGACTGGCTGTCCAAGACTGAATACTGACAATATCACAGCAACATTAATGAACAAATTACACCGATGGACAAATTGTCGGCTGTTACAATTCCAAAGCGCGTTTGAGGACCGATTTAATATATCACAATGAGTGACCGTTCGAATCGGAAGCACTGCACCTTTATCTCTCCGAATTTTATTTAGGTAAACCATACACGAAACAAAAATACGTCTACGACACTGGTTTATGGTTAAACTTTCGGGTTTTAATTACTCATTGGTTGAGTAAATGTTGCACCATAATAAATCTACTGATTACATTGAAGAAGAAATACATAACCCATATACACTCACAGGCAAAATAATCGATCCACACAAATTTTCGATGAATTTCAATCGCAAATAACTTTTTTATTTGATGTTGGATTTAAACGAATATTAAAGAATATTGTAGATAAATTAATGGACAATCGCTCACATTTTAAAAAAATACTAAAAAATAGACGCACGTTTATAATATACAGGTTTAAACAAAAATATGTTTTTTACCATAAGTTTAAGACACTCTGTAGAGTAGCAAAACCGTATATTGTTCTAAATTAAGTTTTATTTATCAAGTCACATCTATTCTTAACAGTTTTGTTTTTAGTTCACCTCGATATATTTATTTTTGTGGAAAATATGGATTTTTTAAAAAAACATTGCAATTTCCAATATTTTTCTGTATGAAGAACTAAGGTTGCTATGGTCCATCCATAGGCTATGGAGAATGACAGTGACAGTTTTGTTAAATCATCCCATACTTGGACATGTCATACACGGCTTTGAAAAGCTATCAAATTTTTTTTTGCAAATTAATATTTAAATTTTGAGGTGTCTTCTTACTTTAAAAAATGGATATGTCTCCGACTGATGTTGCCAGAGCCATTAATTTAATCCAGGATGGACGGTCACAGTATTACCTGGCAAGTGTTTTAAACGTCACAAGAAGTAAAGTACAAAAGGCAACATCAGTCGGAGACATTTTTAAAAGTATGAAGACACCTCAAAATTAACACATTAATTTACAAAAAACAATTTGATAGCTTTTGAAAGCTGTATATGACATGTCCAAGTATGGGATCATTCAACAAAACTGTCACTGTCATCCTCCATAGGCTATGGATGGACCATAGCAACCTTAGTTCTTCATACAGGAAAAATATTGGAAATTGCAATGTTTTTTTTTTTAATCCATATTTTCTACAAAAATAAATATATCAAGGTGAACCAAAAACAAAACTGTTAAAAACAGATGTGACTTGATAATTAAAATAATTAATTTAGAACAATATACGGTTTTGCCACTCTACAGAGTGTCTTAAACTTATGGTGTTTAAACCTGTATATTATAAACGTACGTGTATTTTTTAGTAATTTTTAAAATGTTAGCGATTCTCCATTAATGTATCTACAATATCCGAAATTAAATAAAAAAGTTATTTGCGATTGAAATTCATCGAAAATTTGTGTGGATCGATTATTTTGCATGTGAGTGTATAAATTAACACAATAAAAACCTAAAGTATTCTTAAATAGAAAACAATTAACTTTTATTGAAACCAGATCTGGCGAGATAACCAACTAAATTGATTTTTTATTTTTTGTTTATGAATATTTTTTTCTTGATTAATCCTGTTTTTGAAAAACTGGAAAAATCAACAGTTTAAAAATATTCATGAGAACTATTTTTAAACAACTTTAAGTATCAAAACAACCTTACTACGTCTTGTAGGAATGTTATTAAAATTTCGGATATATAAAATTAGATATTCAGGTTAAAAAAATGTTGCGAAAACCGTTAATTTTAACTTATCACTTACACGCTAAACGATAAAAAAGCAACGAAACAAAATAAAGTTCGACTTACTTGAGGTATTCAGAAGTGTGTGGTTTAAACAGGGCTGCGGGGGCCAAAAGCCTCTGCAGTAATACTAAATTAGTATCACATCGCAAACTTTTATATATACTACTCAAAACTTGAGGTTGATCGAAAAGCAAACACATATGATGCGCAAAACGAAATGTTTCCATCGTCCAGGCCCGGAGTGTTAAACAATTAAAAACAATTAAATTGACAGACTTTCATTGAAAATGATGCTGCTCCAGATCATTGCATTATTTTGTGCAATCATTACCACAGCGGCGTAACACTAGATTTTTTGTACTTTTACAAAATGACCAAATAATGGTATTTACTCAAAAACGTACCAGCAAATTTTTTTCCTGAAAAAAAACTCATTTTTAGAACACCCTGTACATATTTAAACGGCAGACATTTCCTAACAATGTCAACATAAGTTGGATATAAATGTATTAAAAATGACAGCTTAAGCTAGCTAGATCAAGTTTTATAAACGCCACGAGTTTATTATTATTACTTATAAAAAACATTTTATCACAAATTAATTTAATATTTTAAGTTGGCGCTAGAAATCAGTTTTACCATCTTACAAAATGGAAAAGTTGGTTGTACAAATTTTTCTGTAAAAATCAAAATTTCTCCCCTGAAAATGGACTAACAACCGTTAAAATCCGATATAGAAGCAGTTTTTCACAGTGAAAGTGAAGAGGATGTTTTACCCAATACAAATACAAAATTATTAAATAGTTTCTTCTCGCCAATTTTGAAAATTTTTATATGCACGTTAGTTGATTTTGCCAGCAGTATACTAGTATTTATTTAGTTATTTTTTTACCACACTTGGTTGTCCTCTTATGCCCACAGTTTGGACGCGTTACCGAAATGACGAATTAAAGAATATTGGGTGCACGCCACTGATGTTCAATAATTTAATATTTTTAGGCCACGATGTATTAATTGGTATCTAAGACTCTTAATTATATCTTAAATTCATATTATGGCTGAACCACAAAAATTAAAAAAAAATTCTGTTTATGGCATATTAAAAATTAAAAACAACCATTAAGTATTAAATATTAATTCTCAGTTCTTTGAAACACAATTTATCCGAAAAATTTAAACAAAGATGAGTCACCGTTTAAATGTAATAAAATTTATTGTAAACACAATTACCATACTAATTAATAATAAATTAAAAAAATCATTTAAATATTTTTTTTTTATTCTCATTTGAATCTTAATTATTTAAATTTAACACGTTTGCGCTTAATCCCAATGAAAAAAAAATTTCTTATATTACGTCAGCATTTATACATAAAACTAACTTGTGTTAAAATTATGTTCATTCTGAATAAAAATTAATAAAAACCACATTTAGGTCTATGTTGGTATTAAGAAGAAAGTATTTAAAATTACACCAAGACTTTTTACGTTAAGAACAATAATATAAATTATTGTATATTTTAATGTAACAAAATAAAACATAAATATTAGTTCACAAAGATAAAATTAATTCATGATGCTGCTTTAATATTATCTTAAAAACACGGTAAAAATAGGTCAAAAACAAATTGGATATTGACAAGAAGACTAAAGAAAAGAGAGATGAGATCTACAACCTCTATTAAGTTGCCCATTTTATTAGGTATATAAACTACGCCCAATTAACTTATTCTAATCATATTCTTTACAGGTTATTGAATTTTAACAAAATTAAATTTTAATGGTTTTATCATCACCTTACACAATTGGGTCAAAATTTTGAATCTGAAATCTAGTATATAAAGATTTTTTTTTTCCACAAAATTTTTAAACAAAATTTTTTTTAATTAATTTAATATCTAACTAGAAGGTCATTTTCAGTTTAAAATAGTGAAATGTAAATTTGGTTTTGTTATCACTCATTATTTTAAGTAGCATATTCAAATACAAACTAAATCGTTATTTACTTTAAGTTACCTAACAACCCAGTAAAATTATAAAAGAAACAACAACACGTTTTTTAAGCAGTTAGATAGGTACTAATAAAGAAAAAAATAGAATTCAATATTATTAAGTAATTGTAAAATAACGCGGTTTAAAACAAAAGTACTTACCTAGTAGTAAAAATACTGACCTGAAACATGAATAGGAGTGGCAAACAACATTTGTTATTTAAATAAATTACATTTATTCATTGTGAGAGAGTCTTTTAATTTTGATTAAGTATTTTTTTAACTTACAACACGCTATCTTAAAATATATTCAAAAGGATTTTTATGGAAATATTGTTAATAAACTACCCTTAAAGGAGCTTTTTTCGAAAATTAATGTACATTATTCTTTGCTTGTTTAATAAAAAACAATTTTGTTTTAAATAATTATTTGTTTAATAATAATTTTATAATATTTCCTTAAAATTATTGCTCCAATACCATAAGTGCTTACAAATTGCTAAAAATCAATTATTTTAATTTTATTAGATTTATAATACGTATGCAACTATTTAACGCTATATGTAATCGGGGTTGCATAATATATGTACGAAAGAAATAAACGGGGTTCTAATTTTGTGATTAACTTAACTTAAAAATAGTAAACACCCTGTATAAATGAAATCTGTTTAATTAATGAGTTTAAGTTTTCTAAATTTCTACAATTATTATTGTGTATCTTGATTAGATTTCACGTAATGTTTCACTACGTTCAGCCATATTTAAATAGATGGCGCTGCTTACTAAAATCAACATTTACTTATTACACTTCTTCTTCTTCTTCTTAATTCTGATCACAATTCTGTGTTCAGAGAAATGACCTTTAGCTTAATTTAAAAGCTATTCAAAATATCCGAAAAAACTAAAAACCTTTTAATATAAAAAATTATAACAATTTATATTTTGACAGGTTTTCAGTTTTTTTTAATTATTTGGGAGTCGCTGATTTTTTATCCAATTTTAAAATGCCATTTGAATTGAATTGTAATTACGCACCTTTTGTCTAATTTAATCTAATCCAAACGCCAGTGAGCGACTTCCCCCTTTCAAAAACCGAATGCTTGTATAATGCGTCAGCTGTATACATCAAAAATGAAAATACGGTATATTTGCTGTTGAATAATAACAAAAAAGCAAGATTTGTAGTTTCATAATATATTTCGTTAAAATAAAACTTATTGTGCATTAATACATTTAATATTTGTTAAGATCATTTTACAAAACATTTCAAACTTGATTGAAAATAGCAGCACTTTTGCTATGGTAAAGGGGTGGAGGTAAAAAATAATGCACCATGGATAAGTGTTTTTATTTTATTAGATATTTTACACTGAAATAATATAAATATATGTATGTATATGTCAGTGCATTGTAGAATTATGGGAGTAGTATAATTTAACAATATCAAATAATTTGGGAAGATAATATAACAAATTAAACAATATTTATTAGCTAACAACGATGAATAAAAGAGTTCCACTTAACTTAAGTACATTTTCTAGTTTTGTTTGTTCAAGTGAAGACCCCAGCCTTAATTTATCGCAAAAATCTTCCCATAATTTGGCACCTATGTAATAATAATCCAACAAAGAAAAAATACCAATTATAATAATAATAATAACATCATTCATTTCTCTATTAATATAATAATCATATCAATATGCAACTATGGTACAAAACATAAATACAACATTATATAACTAAACAAATATATAATATAATAATATTTACATGAACTTTTATTTACAAACTACACGCAACTGAATTTAACTCCATCATCGCTGCTATAGCAATTTTGGCAGTGTAATTTTTGGTTACGCACTCGCACGTCAGTGCCCATACGGCCATCGCCCAGCTGCATACGGCAAACGCAGCACTTAAAGCACTCCATATGGTAAAATAGACATAAACTCTCAATTATCATGGCCGCGCCCCGTCCTAAAACAACATTCTATTAGAGCGTGCAATACAAATTTTTTGAGAAAACTGCATTTTTGGGTTTGGACCGGGTTGGACGGTTCTAAAACCTGATTTATAGATTGCCTCCTTCCTCCCGTAAAAGATGAAAAGTGCCATTTATAGATTCCAGTACGGGAATCTATAAACAGCACAACGGTTTTTGTATTGTTCAACTTTTACGGGAGGAAGGAAGGCAATCTACAGGGTGTTATGTAATTAATGTTATATATTAAAATGGGTTGTTCCTTAGGGTCCATAAAGAAGCTCCTGAAACTTTTTTTTTTCTAAATTCCAAAGTCTAAAAATAATTTATAATAACCTTTAACCTACCAAAAAGTACGCCACTGATCGACTAGGAACTTTAGGTTAATCTGGTGGATTTATTATGTTATGGTTGGTAACAAGTTGTTACTAACAACAGTGTTTCCAAAATCTCTCAAAAAAGTTTAAAAACATTGTTTAAATTTAGCTTAATTACAAAAATGACAAAATTAACAATGCAAATTGTCAATTTGGCGTTTTTATTAATTGTTGGTTATTTCATTTTTGTACTGAAGGTAAATTTAAACAAAATCTGCCAACTTTTATGACAGAATCTAGTGCATTTTTTTTAAATTTTAGGTTATGTTTTCAAATTGTAAATATCTTAACTAAGGGAAGTGCTTTTGGATTTATTTACACAAATTAAATGTTTAAAGTTTAACCTGTGAACTGGTCCCAATTTCATCTAAGTAAACAGAGAAAAAAACTGATGAAAAAATTTTGTGGTTATGGATTTCAAATTTCAAAGGTACTAAATTTTCTAATCATTGCTTAAGCTAATAGCTGGATCAGTAAATAAATACAGAAGGGTATTAGAGCTTTAAGGGCATAAAACTTTTGTATTTATTGAGTTTTTATTTATTTTTTGCAAGAAAAATTTTTAGTAACAATTTTTTACATCTGGCAACGCATAGCTACTTTGTTGGTTGGTATCTATGTACTCACAAAATACTGGTGTGCAGAGATAAACAAGTGTGTAACCAGTGGCGTATTACAAAAAATATAAAAAACTTCTAATGCATATTTTTTCTTTATCTTTGGAAAAATGTTTTTTTAAATATTTTTCCTTTATTCCTTATGTCAAAAGGTATTCAGTATTTTAATATATAACATTAATTACATAACACCCTGTATATAAATCAGGCTTTAGTATTCGACGTTTCGTCTCTCAATACTAGAGACATCTTCAGGGGTTAAACTAAAACGCAAAAATACAGTTTTCTCCAACAATTGTTTCGTGAAAGCCTCAAAATTAAAATACTACATGTAATGGGGTTTTGCGTTAAAAATCATCAAATAAAAAATTGACAAATTTTAAGCAACGTAAACATATCCGTGTTAAAAATAGCAAAGCATTAGATACGGAAAACCATTTATTTACCGACTTAAGAAGCCACCTAAAATACCCATAGGAAACTAACAAATATACTAATCTGTAAACAAAGTATTATGTTACGAAAACTTTCCCAGCGCGTTGATTTTAATTCGATAATAAAGGGGGTATCATCTTTCTGTAAGTAAGAGATATATTTACCTAGTTCGCTTCCACAATACGAGCATTTCTTTTTGCCGCTCACGCTCAGCACACGATCCTGATTTTCCTCTACCGCCATTGGTGGATAAGACATGGGCATTGCGTGCCCCATCGTTTGAGGGGGGTTCGCTATGTAAGGCTGCATGAACTCATTCTGATCGGGCCTAAAAATGCGGTCTTTATCAGAAACTAAATCAGGCCACCAAGATCGCCAGACTTCACACATTCGAACATTAATAAATGGGTGAATCTCACGAAATGTCACACCCCGTGATATTTAATAAAACCTATCCTCCGTGACTGTTACTCTTTCTAGGTTAACCTAAATGTTTTTAAATATCTGAGGTAGTAAAAGCATACTAAAAATATCAGTTCACTAAGTAAACACGAATCAAATATAAAATATTATTAAAAATTAAAAGAAATAATTTTTATAACTATTTATGTAGGTGTTACAAAAATTGATTCTATCCTCCGTGAATCTGTTTTTGCTTTAATTGTATGCAACGCATGGCGCTTTAATCATTTTAAATAAGCAAAAACTTCTGTTTGCGACATTATATATGCATCTATAGATGCATGTGATTCCTGAAGGTCAGTTAGAATTTATATGCAGATGAAAGTGTTGCTGTTTTATAATTCAAAAGTTTAAGTTCATTCATTTGCTATTTAAAAACCTATTCACCGTGAAGTGTAATATCTCAGTAAGTAGATTTTTTTATAAATATTTTATGTATGTACAATTGTATTTTTAAAATATTAAGGTGTCAAAAGATACAATAACTTATTTCAAATATACAAAGGGATGTTTAAAAAAACATACGAAATCCTAACCTCCGTGAAGCTCTAATATTCAAAATGTATGATTTGTTAAAATTCTTGCATTAGTGCAGAACCACTTATGTCATGTTATTACTAGACCTGGTGGCTTCCCAAAAACCCCATTCTAGACCAACAGTGAAACAACAAAAAAAAATCATTTTCACTTGGGGGACATCTCAATATATTCACCCAAATACAAAAATTGATAACTTGAAAAAAAAATTTAATTTTGAACAAAAAATTATATTAATTATATAATTGCATAACTACCCAAAACTTAAAAATATTCAATTAATAAGCACTTGAACTTTCTGATTAAATTAAATAATGTAATAATTTGGTAGCAGATAACTTTGGCACAGTGTATAGGTATAAATTATACCGTATAATACATAATAATTGTTTTGAAAATAACTTTTTGCTTCATTAAAAAACTTAATATAAAATATACACACTGCATTCCTTAACGTTACAAAATTTGATATCTGATGTTTTAATTACGATTTTATTACAGTTATATATTTTTTTCACCTAAAAATTATAATAATGATTAACGACCTTGGTAATATTAAATCACGTGTAGAATAATGCATCGATTTTATGGCATTAAGCCATAAAAGCAACAATGCAAAATTTTTTACACATTACTCAATGGGAAATAAATATTTAGAGTGGGTATATCACAACATGCCCCTAAGGTAAATGATTCCAATTTATTTTGACATTTAATGAAGGCCACAAAATACTCCATTTAAAAAAATGATTTGCATAAATAAACTAAGCAACAAAATAATATACCACGTTTACATCCAAATGTACAGGGTGGTATTTATTAAGAATGTCTTAAATTAAGTTTCCCTACCTCATTTTGCTAAATCTAATTCTAATTAGCTTAATTTAAAGGGATTTTGTTTTATATAACATATATGTACAGTGTACACTGTACAAATTTAAAAAAAAAAATTTTTAGCCTGGGGGTGGAATGTGTAGCCTAAAAAAAAATTTTTTGAAAAAAAAAATTTTTACTCAACGTCTTGAGGTGGCCCGGAAACTGCGGAGTGTCCTTTTTCTTGCTAATTAACAGTTATGAACTTAAAAATTTTTTTGTGGTCATTATTGTTGTTTTTAAAAAAATTCCAAAATAGTAACATGCTTTTCTGAGGCAATAGAGCGAATTTCGAGTTGAACACGATCAAATTTGTTTATTTTTAGATAAATTTGAAGAATTTTAACTTAAATTTAATTTAAAAAATCAGTGGGCCACCTCAAGACGTTGAGTAAAAAGTTTTTTTTTCAAAAATTTTCTTTTTTTATAGGCTACAAATTCCACCCCCAGGCTAAGGAAAAAAAATTTTTTTTTCGCTCCACCCTAATGTACAGTTTAATCCAATTAAAAAGCTTTAACTTGCGTTATATCAGATTTTTAGTTGAGTACAGTTTTGATGAAAACGTGTATTTTGATAATAAATTTAATTGATGGTGCATCCCAAATTCGATTTTAATGAACTGAACATACAATATTCGTGAGTTTTGGAGAAATCGTACCTTCTAATTTGTGGATTACGCTCGTTGATATTAGTTCTATTTTGAACTCTCTGCGTTAAAGAGTGTATAATGGAGTCAGGTAGATGCTTTTCGTGCCTCGACGGTGGCTGCGGCTGCCAGTTATTACGGTTCGAGAACGCGTTTTTCTGCTGATCCGATATTCGTCTCAGTTCGGCTTCCTGTAATTAACAAAAATACGGCACTTTACCGCACGCAACTATTGGCTTCATCGTCATTCGCTTACCTGTATGAGCCAGTGCTGGCTGTAGCTCTTTTCACTCTTGGGCTTGGGCTGAATCCAGTTGTCGTTTCGCCTAGGTCTGGGCGCGGCGCTTAAAGCGTGCAGGTTGTGTTTGGACAGTTGCTTAGGTTTAACTTGATTGTGTTCAGGTGAGATCGGGTTGAAGAATATCTTAGGTTCAATTGGTTTACCAGGGAGTATAGGTTGCCGGTAGGTTGGCGTTTTGAAGGCCGAACGATGCACATCCATATCCAACTGCAGCTCAGGCATAGATTTTCTGTTGCCCATCAAAAGTTGTTCGGGGGCCGGCATGTGCTGTATGTCGGGCATCGACTGTCTGGTGTTGTACTGTACATCTAAATCTGGAATACTTCTATAAACATTTGGCACATCAGGTACAGATTTTCTGTATTCTAGAGGTATTTGTTGCAATTCTGGCATCGATTTGCGGTAGTCCACGCCTGGGTACGATTCGTCGCATATGTTTTCTAGCGAATGCCGGTTGTTTTGCATTCTGGCTTTAGCCCGGCTCTCGCGAAATAACAAGTTCTCCCGTTGCCTCTCCAACTCCTCTCTTTCCAGCTGACGGAGCTCCTGCTCAACCTTCAACACCTCAGAATCCTGATCATCGACGAGGTCTGATGATTGCTGAAAAACCACAAACACCATCCAGTTCACTATTATCAACACATCTATATATTAATTTACCTGAGGAAAATACGGGTTTTTAAACTGCTCACTGCCTAAAGAAGGTTCAAAGGGTTCAGCTTCCTTAGGCGAACTCATCTCCTCATTATTCACGCCATCCAAATTCGGATCCCTTGATTTCTCCTCCTTCTCCACCATCTCAATTATCTCGCGCTCTTTCTTAGTTATTTCGTCTTCCTCCGAAGTAATACTATTAGTCTGCTCGCTATCCTGCCTTTCGTGGCTTGGAGTGCTACTGCACCAAGTATCGCTCGACAATCTTCCTCTATCAATATCCAAACCGGAATCTTGACTCTCAACTTTGCTCAAATTCCCCATGCGATCTTCATGCATTTTTTTATAAAGCGATTTCTCCATCTTTAAATCTTTTTGCAAGTAAGCTGTAATATCTGGAGGTTTCTCTAGGAGTACGTCTGGCTCGATATTATCCAAAGGTTCTTCCAATCCAAGAAAACTTGATCGCTTTAAGTGAATCTCTTTTTTTATTCTTTTGGTGGAATTTATTCTTTTCATGGGTTTCTCCCCCTCCTCCTCCTCCTCCATAGGCGGTGGTGGAGGCGGCTTCACTTTTGGAGGTTCTTTTAGAGTCGTCGACATAATAATTAAATCGCTATCCAAATAATCCACAGGTTGGACGGTGTTGTTCGATATAAAAACATTTTCGTAAATCGCTGGAGATATTTCAACGTTTTCGTATTCAACGGGCTTCTTTCTTAACTCCACTTGCTTAGTCTCAATAAGGATTTCCTCGTTTTCCGATTCTTCAGGCACGTTGAGTGATAATTCTTTGATATGCGTCAATTGGGCTTCTCTTTCGATCGTCAAATGTTCCGAAGAATCCTTTCTTAACTCCTCCAAAAGGTCTTCAGTGCTCTTCGCCATCTCCTTGGTATCCAGTAATTGAGTCTCCTCATTTTCTCTAATATCCTCTTCAATCTGCATCATTTCAGTTTCCTTAGCGAGTTTTTCAATGCAGTTAGGTATTGTCTCGCTGTCCGTATCAATCGGTTCGTCAGCTTGGCTCACAGAACATGAAACATCGGCAGTGTGGATACCACTGTCCTCCCTATCCGAAGAGATACCAGTCAATTCCACTGAAGATGTCGATGGCGGATAATTGGAATTCGAGGAGCAATCATCCATGCCGTTATCAGCGTGTTTCCCGTTCATGAGATTGTCCAAATCTTGGTTGAACATGTTCAACTTGTTCATGTATAATTCGGTCTCTGGGCTGGAGCATCTGTCCTCCTTCAAGCTCTTGCTTTCGAAGGTAGGTATGTCCACCAAGTAGCTGCTGATCTTGTTTGGTTTCGCAGCGTTGTTGTTTTGATTGTCGAGCTCGTTTTGCTTGTTGAAATTTTGCATGCGTTGTTTCACAGATACCTGAATGTCGTTTTTGTCGTTCGAGCGCAGCGTTTGGTCGACGGACTGTTCCAGACTCTTGAGGCGATCTTTAATGCTTCTTGTGTTGGCGAAATCTTCGGAAAGACGCCGCGACGTGTTGGATTCGAAAGTGCCGATTTCCACCGTTTTATCCCCTTCGAATATTTCTTTTCTCTTGAATATTTCCCCCTTCGGTAATACAGTTTGCGCCTCGGAAAACTCTTTGGATTTCGACGAATCTTTGTTTTTGGTGAAAATTGAATCGTCCACGTGGATTTTTGACTGTATTCTTGATCTGTAATCCTGTATCCCTTCGTAAGTGTATTGTTCTGTGGTATTGTTGTTTTTACTATCGGTCTGTTTTGACGTGGGGACGGCTTCGTCCTCACTTTGACTTTGGTTTGGAGTACTTAAACTGTCTTTAACGCTTTGTTCTTTTTCGTCAAGCATACTGATATTATCGTCAGTGTCCACATCTTTAATGCTGTTGGTCTTTGAACTACTACTGCCGATACCGTAATCGCTCAGATCATTCGAATCTTCGTCATACACGGGGATTTTAATTTTATGCCTCCTGAAATGTTACAACCCCGTATTAAAAACTTATATTACAAATCTACTTAACGCGCGGTCATGTCGTTAGCCCCTGCTAACGATTTTTTACAAATAGGATTACTTTATTACTACGTAAACAAAATGTTGGTTTGGTACCTGTCTTCTCTCATTTCACTAAATGTCTTGCCCTTTCGTCTGCTCTTTTCTTGTCCCTCTTGCTCTAATTTTTTTACTTCCACCACCCTTTCTATGATGTGTTCCTGTCTTTTTCTCCTACTACTCTTCCAATTGTCCAGGTTCTATATTGATAGGAAAAATAATTATGTTACGTTACGTTTTGGGGGATGATAGTACACGCCAAAACAAGAATATCATTTTTGAATTAGAGCTACTGTTGGGTACTTTGTAATCATTGATTAAAATTTCTATTGTAATTTTACTAAACATGTTTAGGAAGTTTTTACTACAGGGTTTATTACAACTCAATTTGGGAAAATTACAAAACGTTTGTTGAAATTCATTAAGCATTTATTAAAAATTTGTTCAGTAACATTACTATACAGGTATTGTTATTTTGCTAAAAAAATACTAAATTTGTTTAGTAATTTTAAAATTGTGAAAGACACCTGGAGCTTATATACTGTCCACCTAAGTCAACCGAGGTGAGATGTAAGAACATCACGTGATTGTCGCAATTGGTAGTTACTATGCATTTTACATAACATTATAGCAAATCAAATTACAAACGACGTTTGTAAATCTGAGATGCTTTTTATTACAAACTGTCAAACTGTTTAGTAAACACAACTTAGTAGATTTCCCAACATTTCTTGGAAGATTACTCAAATTGTATTATAATTTTGTATTGGTATGTATACACTGATTTGTAATTTTACTCATCCTTTGTTTTGCAAAACAATTGTAATTTTCCAAAAAATTTTAACAGTTTACATGATTAAAATAATATACAGACTGTATAGAATCAAGTAAGTAAGGCTGGAGACAAGGATGACAAATTATATTCTGATCAGAGAAAAAGAAACAAACTTTAATTGGGCGTGGTTTAAACCAAGCCATTCGTAATTACGAACCATAGTTGCCAGGTTGTTTTAAATCAGAAGAGAACGATTATAATTATTTAATAAATAGTTCAATTTTATTTGTTTGACACTTTAAAAATAACAAATAAATTAATATGTCAAAAATAATTTGATTTAGTTAATTTTCTTACTTTTAATATTAAAAAATAAGAAAAACAACCCTTTTAGGAAACAATAAGCATATGGCAACAGCGCGGCATGCAGCCAGATACAAGGGCATGCAGTTTGATCTACTGTGTTTGTTCAGTAGCTCCGACGCTGTCGTAGGTAAATGTGTATAGTTTTTAAGAAATACATTTTCGCCATTAACTGGAATTTAATGGATTTTAAACAATACTTAGTTTTTATTTGCAGAAATGCATTAAAACAAAACAAACGAATTCGATAGAAATAAAGCCTATAAATTCTCAAACAAAAATAATTCTAAAATAACGAAAATAACTTTCAATCCCTACCACAGTGGGCGGGGTTTGGCACTTGTTTTATTTAAGTGTATCTATTCGTTTTAATACACACTGTATTGTAAAAATGCAAACAGAAGTTGTATAAAATAAATAATGATTTGTATATTTCCAAACACTACTTTGGCTATAAATATTGTAAATTTTTTAATAAATGTAGATTATTGCCCACTGTGCAAGCATATTTTTGCCAGGAACAACCAGTGGCGGCCCAAAATTCCTACTTTACTTCAAAAAAATTTAATGATTTTTTAATTAAAAAAATTGTCTTATTTTGGCGTGTAGGTACCATCACCCCTTGAAGGATGACAACTTATTTTGTGACACCCTGTATATGGAATAATAAAATCTTACTAATTGCCAATCTTCTATTTCCTCTCTGACTTCTTTACGTTCCTTCTTGATTTCCTCGACTTTTTTTATTTGTTCTTGGGCTTTTTGAAATAATGGACACGGTGCAACTTTGACGAATTGCATGGGGTTTGTGGCAGGTTTCGGAGGGGGTGGTTTCGTAACTCGGCATTTCGTTGGTTGGTACTCGGTATTGGAATTCTATGAAAACACATGTTGAATAGATGACCGTCTTTCTGCGAAAACGGTCACAAAACTTACCCTTCGTTCGTTAGTATCATTTTCGTGATTATCCATCTTTACAGCTAGTTCCTCTTCATTCTTTCAGGATTTTCAATGATCTCTGAAACAATATGAACGGTTTGTATTATTTTGTTGCATGGCTATATAATTTATTGTGTACCGTTTTCGTTAAATTCATCAGATGACGCTACAACATGTGTGAACTTTTGTATTGTATTGTCACATTACGCGCTATTGTATTAATATATGTACTCTTGAAAAGATATTTCCAAAACACAATAACATAATTTATTTTGAGTAATATGAGGTTTATTATAAAAATTGCTAGGTAAAGTTTTGTAGTTTAATTCATTACCTAACTGTATAAATGCTCAGCATTGTAAATCCAATTAAATAATATTGATTTAACTTTTTTATTGGTTTAACTTTCTCAACAAAATTTTTACTTCGATTTTATAGCATTTAACTTACATAACTAACTATAAAACGAAGGGAATAGTTTTACTCGTTTGAGAAACAAGGTTGAATTTGTGCACCGAAAACTAATTAACACCACGCTAATGCCGAAATACAAAGATGCATTTACTTAAACCGTTATTTCTAATGACTAACCCACAAAAATTTTCGCATGAATTTGGTGAACAATGCTTTACAAATTAACGAAATTACAATAACAATTCCCATGCTCAAACAAAACATAAATTAATTTCAGATTGTATCGCAAGGTCGTGGATTATTGTGACACCCTGTATAAGTGTTGAAATGCATACCGCAGTAAATAAATACCTACCATTTGTGTACGGTGCATGATTGAACGACAAAAGTAAAAGGCAACAATGAAAAGATTTTAGCGAAAAGTCTATAATTTGACGTGAATCATTTGCATACATTTCTCGAAATGTCTTAAGCCTTTGGGGTCCCTACATTCCAAAAATATCTTTTGTGTTTAATGCCACGCACAGATGTCACTATTTTAAAATGTATACATATATGCGTATTTTTTAATTAAAACGACGATAACCATCTCTCGGTTTACTGTTATTTTTATAGACTTCTGTTTTGAACATTCAACATTTTTTGCTTTCGGGCGCCAAAATGTCTTTTTGTCGTTGGGACAGTTATAAGAAAAGGATGGTTCGAATTCCACGCGAGCCCAGTATAAATATAACATGAAATGTAACATCTTAAGCTATGTCCATTCGTTCACTCGTAACGCCCATATGTCAACGAAATCAAGATCACAAGCCAATTTATTTTCGTTCAGTATAATTATAACAATTGTTACCTAATAATTAAGCCAAAGTACACCGTTGACCAACAACATTTTTTCGTATGACCCTATGGAAAAACCTCTTAACAAGAATTTAAGAATAAATTATCCAAGGTTTTAAAAATGCTCAACCAAGATTTTAAAGAATATTGCCACCTAAAAATGTTAAATTATAAAAATATAGGGTTTAAGCCATAAAATATAAGACTTTAAAGTTTAGAACACTGTTAAATCATAAAAATTAAAGTTTTAAGAATGTTTATTCTAAAAAACGCAGGGTTTTTAGAATATCATGCCATAAAAATACAAGGTTTTAAGAATGTTAAATATAAAAAATAAAAGGATTTATAAATCCTTATAAGACTGTTAAATTTAACCGAGGTTTTAAGGATGTAAAAGCATCACTAAGTTTTAAGAATGTTTAACCAAGATTTTCCACACTAAAAGGGTTTTAAGAATGTTAAATCATTAAAATATAGGGTTTAAGGCATAAATGACTTTAAACTTTAAAACGAGGTTAATCATAACAATTGATGTTTTAAGAATGTTATTCTAAAAAACTGCAGGGTTTTAGATTACCATGCCATTAAAATACAAGGGGTTTTAAGCATAAAATCACAAGGTTTTAAGAATTTTTAACCAAGATTTTTTACACCAAAAAGGTTTATAAAAATATAGGGTTTTAGCCATAAAAATTGATGTTTTAAGAATGTTATTCTAAAAAACGTAAGGGTTTTGGATTACCATGCCATAAAAATACAGGGCTCTAAGACTGTTAAACCAAGCTTTTAATAATGTTAAACCATAAAATCACAAGGTTTTAAGAATGTTTAATTAACCAAGATTGTCCACGCCATGAAATGTGAAAAATTAAAGTCTAAAAAAAGGTTTTGAGAATGTTAAATCATAAAAATTGAAGTTTTAAGAATGTTTATTTTAAAAACCGCAGTATTTTTAGAATATTATGCCACTAAAATACAAGGTTTTAAGAATGTAAAAACAAAATCACAAGGTTTAAGAATTTTTAACCAAGATTTTTTACAACAAAAGGGTTTTAAGAATGTTAATCATAAAAATACTGGGTTAAAGCCATAAATGACTTTAAACTTTTAAACGAGGTTTTCAGAATCTTTAATCATAAAAATTGATGTTTTAAGAATGTTATTCTAAAAAACTGCAGGGTTTTAGATTACCATGCCATTAAAATACAAGGCTCTAAGACTGTTTATGTTTATTCTAAAAAACGGAGGGTTTTTAGAATATCATGCCATAAAGGTTTTAAGAATGTTAAATATAAAAATTATGTTAACCGAGATTTTAAGAATGTTAAATCATAAAAATATAAGGTTTTAGTCATAAAATCATAAAAATTGATGTTTTAAGAATTCTAAAAAACGCAAGGTTTTAGATTACCATTGTAATCAAAAATGCATTTAATAAAAATACAAGGCTCTAAGACTGTAAAAAAGGTTTTAATACGCAAGGTTTTAAGAATGTTTAACCAAAATTGCCCTTGCCATGAAATGTGAAACTTTAAAGTCTAAAAAAGGTTTTGAGAATGTTTATTTTAAAAACCGCAGTGTTTTTAGAATATTATGTCACAAAATACAATGTTATAAATTATAAAACATAAGCCATAAAAAATATAAGGATTTAAGACTGTTAAACAGAGGTTTTAAGAATTTAAAAGCATAAAATCATAGGATTTTAAGAATTTTTAAACAAGATTTTCTACACCAAAAGGGTTTTAAGAATGTTAATCATAAAAATACTGGGTTTAAACCATAAATGACTTTAAACTTTAAAACGAGGTTTTGAGAATCTTTAATTACAAAAATTGATGTTTTAAGAATGTTATTCTAAAAAACAGAATGGTTTTAGATTACCATGCCATACAAATACAAGGCTCTAAGACTGTTAAACCAAGGTTTTAATAATGTAAAACCATAAAATCACAAGGTTTTAAGAATGTTTAATTGTGAGTCCAAAAAAAGGTTTTGAGAATGATAAATCATAAAAATTAAAGTTTTAAGAATGTTTATTTTAAAAACCGCAGTGTTTTTAGAATATTATGTCACAAAATACAATGTTTTAAGAATGATAAATTATAAAACATAAGCCATAAAAATATAAGGATTTAAGACTGTTAAACAGAGGTTTTAAGAATGTAAAAGCTTAAAATCACAAGGTTTTAAGAATTTTTAACCAAGATTTTCTACACCAAAAGGGTTTTAAGAATGTTAATCATAAAATACTGGGTTTGAGCCATAAAATGTAAAACTTAGAAAAGGTTTTGAGAATGTTAAACCATAAAAATTGAAGTTTTAAGAATGTTTATTTTAAAAACCACAATATTTTTAGAATATTATGTCACTAAAAAAAAGGTTTTAAGAATGTTAAACCATAAAAACATAAGCCATGAAAAATTTTAAGAATGCTAATCATAAAAATACTGGGTTTAAGCCATAAATGACTTTAAACTTTAAAACGAGGTTTTAAGAATGTTATTCTAAAAAACATAAGGATCTAAGACTGCTTATGTTTATTCTAAAAAATGGAGGGTTTTTAGAATATCATGCCATAAAATACAAGGTTTTAAGAATGTTAAATATAAAAATTATGTTAACCGAGGTTTTAAAAATGTAAAACCATTAAATTACAAGGTTTTAAGTTTGTTTAAAGATTTTCCACACCAAAAAGGGTTTTAAGATTATTAAATCATAACACGTGGAACTTTAAAGTCTAAAACAGGGTTTTAAGAATGTTAAATCATAAAAATTAAAGAATGTTTATATATAACATATATAAACATTCTTCAACTTTTATGATTTAATATTCTCAAAACCCTGTTTTAGACTTAAAAGTTCCACATGTTATGATTTAACAATCTTATTATGTCACAAAAATTCAGTTTTTAAGAATGATAAAAACATAGGCCATAAGCCATAAAAACCGAGATTTTAAAAATGGAAATCATAAAATCACAAGGTTTTAAGAATGTTTAAGCAATATTTTTCACACCAAACGGGGTTTAAGGATGTTAAATCACAAAAATAATAATAATAAGCCGTAATATGTAAGCCTTAAGTTTTAAACAAGAATGTTAAATCATAAAAATCAATGTTTTAAGAATGTTTATTCTTAAAAACGCAGGGTTTTTAGAAGATTATGTCATACAATTAAAAGGTTATAATAATTTTAAATCATAAAACAAAAGCCGTAAGATAATAAAAAAAGGCTTTAAGACTGTTAAACCAAGGTTTTAAGAATGTTTTAAGATTTTTTACACTAAAATGGTTTTAAGAATGTTAACTCATAATTTATTTATTTCTTGTTAAAATGTTTACAGGGTGTTTTGTACATAAAGGGTTACTCACATGTGCACCATACCATATATATATTTAATTTGTATTGTAATTGTATATATACAATTAAATTTCTAATTTGGTTTTACCAATTACCAAATATAACAATTTAAATCTGGTTTTAAATAGATTAGCTAATATAACATCCGTTTTTGGCGAATTTAGAATGATCTAACCTTGTTGTGTATACCAAATTTGTGTTAATTAAATTTAGCGTGGTAAATGTAACGGTGTTACAATATTAAAAGGAAATATTCTACGAAAACGAGTATTTCTAGGCTAGAAAACTTGTCCAATCAAAAATATCAAGTTTTCTAAGGCAAAATACGGTACCATAGTGTAGTCTACCGAAATTTTGCTTTTACTGCATTTTAATTGGCTGAGAATAAGAGAAAATGGGTACCTTGAGTTATTTGAAATTTAGTTGTTTTTTGGTTGTGATAAGGTAATTACAGAAATCGTTAATCGTTAATCTAAATCGAAAATTGTAAAAGTGAAAAATATTTTGTTGCTATGTACACATGAATTTCGTTACCGTTATTTAAAAAAGCTTCATAGAATACTAAATAATAGTGAAGACGTTGACTTAAGGGGCCATTTCGCAACATATCCGAGTTGCATAAAATATAAATATATTCATTGTTTAGCAAAAAATTACAAGGAAGTGATAAAATCGCTGTTTAAAAATAAACGAACACAATGCATATTTTCGCAACGATTTCTTTCTTAATCATATGTGTAGCTATTTTTCTACTGTGTCATATTTTAGCCGAATAAATAATAAAATTAAAATATTTACCTTTTATTTTAAAAAATCATTTGCTGAATCTGAAACAAACAAACCACAAAATTAGTAATGTAAATAAATAAGGTACTCAGACATACATAAAATTGTTTATTTGTTGAATATGTTAAAAAATAGTATTTTTAAACAATTGTTTTTGAAGGGGCAATTAAATATCAATTTGTTACAATCAAGGGAACTAAAAAAGAAATTTTTCGAAAAGCATTGTTTTAATTTTCAATAGAAAAGATTGTTACACAAAAACAATACCACGAAGAATAGATAAACATCAATAATGGAAGTCACATAGTTTATGTACACTTTTTACCTTTTAATTGGAAATGTGTTAAATAAACATTTAATAGTCGATTTTAAACCAATTTTGAAATTGCATACTGAAATTGCCGGTGAAAGTTGCATTTTCAAAAGTTACAACATTAAATGCAATTAAAAAACGTTTAACTGTTTTAACACCTATAATCCCTTAATAATTAAGTTAGATAGGGGACAAATATAAGCGATGAACAAAACCTAAATAAAAAAAGGTTTATTAAACTTCACACTGACTCATTTGGTTACCTGGTTTGACAGTGTAGGCGTAAACCCCTTAATATTTTATCACAAGGTGGCAAAATTGTTTACCCAAAACTTTACAATGAAACATTTGACATTCACACCTAAACATAAAATTTTACATAGAAAGTATTTAATTCATTACATGATTTTTAATTTTGTAAGGTCAAGAGAAAATTAGTTTTTGTCACTAAATATTCCTTTAATAACTTTTACTTTTTTGTGAAGATTTTACAACAACATTTAAAAACATCATCACTATAAAAAATATATATAAACAATGTATTTATGTTCGTTATATTTTATACGGTGTATAATGTTCTAACGGGATTGGGTAAATAAAAATACATACTCAGTATTTAACAAATCGTTACGGTCCGTATACATATAAATGTTAAGTATACTTTCATATTTAATTATATACTTCACAATATTTCAAATGCTAACAACAATTATTGATTTTGTAAGTAAATCGTATTTCAATTAAAAAATGGCTACTTTTAATAACTTTTGATGTGATCTAAAAACAACTAAAAATTTATAATTTTACATTTAAATGTAAGTCGATAATTTTTAATTTACAAAATGTAAACGAAGCTTTAGAGTGGTCAATTTTTAGCGTATGCAGTAAAGCCGCGTTTATACTTAAAAATTAAAAATTATCGACTTACATTTAAATGTAATGTGAATATGTGTTAAAAATGTATCAATTTAAATTTGTTACAAATAAAATTTATTGGTTTATATTTGTAAAGAGTAATTTAAATTATAGTCCAAAAATTACCACTTTAAAATTTAAAACTAATATTTAAATGTAATGTGAGAATTTTTGTGTTAAAAATTTATTTAAATGACTTACGAATTTAAAAAATAAATTTGTAAAATAAAATATAAAAACTATAATTTTAAAAAAACAATATTTTAAACTTAAACTTTTATTATATTTTATTTTAAATTTAAAATATTTTTTGATTAGGTGTCAATTATTTTGAGTTTAAAAATTTTAACTTTTTTAACCAATTTAATCCAAATAATTTTATTAAATATTTATTTAAGATTTGAGATGTCCCCCAAGTGAAAATGATTATTTTTTATTTTTGGTTGTTTCACTGTTAGTCTAGAATGGGGTTTTTGGGAGGTCTAGTAATAACATAACATAAGAAGTTCTGCACACTGAAAAAAAATATTCTTGATTCAAAACAATCTTTGTCTCATATATAACGAAGAGAATATATTCTTTAAAATAGTAAAGTATTTTCTTAATTCACGTTGATTTACTTCAAGAATATTTTCTTAATGTAAGAACATTAAGAAAAGATTCTTGAAGTAAATCAACGTGAATTAAGAAAATACTTTACTATTTTAAAGAATATATTCTCTTCGTTATATATGAGACAAAAATTGTTTTAAATCAAGAATATTTTTTTTCAGTGCACTAATGCAAGAATTTTAAGAAATCATGCATTTTGAATATTAGAACTTCACGGAAGATAGCTTCACGGAGGTTAGGATATCGTATGTTTTTTTTAAACATCCCTTTGTATATTTGAAATAAGTTATTGTATCTTTTGACACCTTAATATTTAAAAAAAATACAATTGTACATACATAAAATATTTATAAAAAAATCTACTTATTGAGCCCAGGTAGCACAACGTGACATTAAAAATTGGAAGTGACGAAAACGAGACAATATTTCGTTACGATTAAGGAAATTTTAATAAAAAGTAAATAAATTGCGTGACGCCAAATTCGTGACGAGGGGTCTATGAAAATACGTGACGAATTTTTTCATAAAGTCGTTAGTCACACGAAATAGTGATAATTTTACTTTAAATTTTGGTATAAAATTCTTGACGTGCAGCTCGTTACAAAAACGTTACAAAATATTTATACAAATCGTTACGAAAACATCACGTAAAGTCGTGACACCAATGCGCAGTCGCCAATAGTCATATGTTCTGTGCATCTCCAGTAGGATCTCCATTTTGAATGATTGGTAACGACCCAAGCCATTGGTTTCTGTAGGTTTTTCTATATTTCTGCAAAGTTTTTAATGGTAAACAAAAGGATAGTTTAAAACCGTAAGTACTTTTGCTTTTCTATATTTCAGTAGCTTAAGACAATTGTCTGCAATGCTAAACAACTCCACACTAATCTAAGAAATGTTTTGCTGTAGCAACAAAATATAAGTAACCACAACATTTTTAGTGTGTTAATATATCCTTAACAAATTTATTATTATAGCTTAAGTATTTTAAGTTGAATTTCTACTGAAAGAGGAAAAAATACATTTTTTTGTACGTGAAATAAAATTTAACAAAGCCATGGAGAAAACTATTTATTTCTTCTCATTTTGCAGGTCAATTAAAATTAAAAAATTGGTAACCAACATAACATACACTGTTTTACAGTCGACACTCTGGACACACTCCACACATCTGGATAGGGGCGAACGAAAACTTTAGACTAAAAGACATATTGATGGCAAACACAATTGTCTTGGGTTGTCTCGGGGGAAAGAAATATTACTAAGGATGACGTTGAAAAGCACATTATGCACATTAAGCATACATATGATAAGATGAAATCACAGGTTTGTACTTCAGCTGAACCCTAGTGTTATTTAAGTAAGTTTATTATAAATAAATGTTGCAGTTAAAGAAACTGCAGAAATAAAATAAAAATTTTATACTACATGAATTATTAATTGACTTCATTCATTTCATTTTTTAATTTATAAGAGAAATAATTGTTTATTTTGTTTTACTGTTTTTTATATTAGGTATATTCTAATAAAATAGTGTTTTATTCTACAGGAGAATTATATTTTTGTGTACTGTTTTATCCTTAAAATAGAAAAATAATTTAATTTTTTTTTCAAAGATATGAAATTTGAAAACTAATTGCAATTATTGCTGGTTTTCAAAAGTGGAGGTATTTTTATTGTATAAGAGTAATATTTTTTTATTTTGTTAGTGTTTTTCTATATAATATATATAGTTATATATATATATAGTTATATATATATATTATAGTTTATTGTAGAATATGTTTTTATTGTTTTTCTAATAAAATATAATTCAGTTAAATGTGCTTTCTTTGCATTAACATTGCAAAACTAAACAATCCTAACAACAATATGTTATTATTTGGGGGTGTAATAATATTGTGTAGTGTAATGCAGTGCAGTACAGTATAGTGGGTTGTTCTGTGTATTGTGGAATTATTGCTTACCTTCAAAGTTTTGTAATTTGATTTCAACCTGATGATGAGGTTAAAATCAAATTACAAAACTTTGAAGGTAAGCAATAATTCCACAATACACAAAACAACCCACTATACCGTACTGCACTGCATTACACTACACAATATTATTACACCCCCAAATAATGCAACTATACGCCACAATTACGTGACCAGTTCAGTTCACTATTCGGTAACGAAGCGTCGTGACGAAACCGTGACAAATCATCGTGAAGAATCCGTGGCGTATTCTTAACTACATCGTGAAGATTTTTATTCATATTAATGTAACGTATTCGTCACAAAAACTATGCTTAAATTTAGCGCGGTTTGGCAACTGTTTTTAATTAAATACGTTACGATTTTTAAATAACGTCCAAGTCACGACTGACTGAAAACGTCTCGTTTACGTCAAGATTTCGTTACGTTGTGCTACCTGGGAGATATTACACTTCACGGTGGATAGGTTTTTAAATAGCAAATTAATGAACTTAAACTTTTGAATTATATAACAGCAACACTCTCATCTGCATATCAATTCTAACTGACCTTCAGGAATCAGATGCATCTATAATGTCGTAAACAGAGGTTTTTGCTTATTTAAAATGATTAAAGCGCCATCCGTTGCATAAAAATTTAAAGCAAAAACAGATTCACGGAGGATAGAATCAATTTTTGTAACACCTACATTAATGGTTATAAAAAATATTTCTTTTAATTTTTAATAATATTTTATATTTGATTCGATTTCTTTGGATGTGTTTAATTTACTTAGTGAACTGATATTTTTAGTATGCTTTTACTACCTCATATATTTGAAAACATATAGGTTAACCTAGAAAGAGTAACAGTCACGGAGGATAGGTTTTAGACTTTTAAAACGTTGTAACAAATAAATAATTGCGGTTAAAAATCTGGAACCTGAGCTGTAATGTCTACTTAATTTTTAAGTTTTCGTCAAATTCACCCATTTAAAATTCTTCCCAAATAAATTATTTTTATTAAAAAATGATGGTTAGAAATTTTTGCAAAAATCGATTGGAAATAATATTGTATAAATAAATAAAATATCTTTTAACATAAATTAACCAGAAAATAATTTTTTTTTCTGTGAAAAAAATGCTTGATCCAAGTTTTAAATTTGAGAGAGGCTGTGGACTAGTGCAAAGCTATTGAACTACTTCAAAGCAGGGTAGTCCGACAAAAAATAGTCAGCATTGTAATT